GGTTAACTTGGAGGATTTGAAACAAGAACGACTCGGTAATGGATTTTCGCATCCGTGGCATTTGGCTAGGTGTGGAGGCGAAAGACAGGTTTAAGGCCATTGGTGTTAGGCTGTGGAAATCCAAAATCATGACCTCAAAACAGGCAACGGTCATGAGGTGACTCATCGGGCGTGATTGTAAGCTGACCACGTGAGAAGCAATCCAATTCAGATCAGCTCATCCACCCAGCCATCCGTTCAGCCGGTCATCAATTTTTAGCGCGAAGCAATCTCATTTCCTCTTACCCTGTTGAGTGATTTGGTGGCGTCGATGGTTTTGCCGAGTGCAACTGAGGGGCGTTAATTTGCCGCGTAGACGCCTTTGAAACCAGTCCTCAATTTAAATTCACATTTAGGAGCAATTTGTGGCAGAGGAATTTAGTGTCCACAAGTGTTTGTAGAGGAATAGGCTGCAATGTGCATCTACACATTCGTCCACCCACTCCATATTTCACCACCACTACACCTTCATCGTATGCCATCATCGGTTTTGTTGTTGCAAATCAATCCACCTCCATTCCTAACAGCGTCATTTACACATTTACTGCTTCTCCACTCATGTCAATGCCCATTTTAACTTTAGCAATGACAACAACTCCACTAATTGGTATGCGCTCGTGTGCATGCCAATTGGACGTCCATCCCTACTGCATTTCAACAATATGGCCAACACCTTCGAAACATTCCCTTCGGTCTTGCAAAAGCAAGCATTCTAACGATTGCTGCGTATAATGATAGAGCTTGGAGCCTCAACATCAAGACACGTGCTTGACAGAGGTTATGAGTGGGCAATAACAAAAAATTGCCCTTGTTCAAAGGAGATGATGGCGACCTCCAAACCAACATCATCAGCCATGGAATAACCATCTCTCTACGCATGTCGCGAATAGGTTCACCATGAGCAACTTTGTTTCTTCTACTCACCACCCCTCACATCACTCTGTACATCGGGTACCACCCTCCTCGATCATCACCCTGCTAGTCATTTCACAGTCATCCTTCAGTTCATTGCATCTACATGAATGCACCTTTAGTTCACTGCAGTATAATGTCTTCACTCAGATGCTAGATTACAGAATACCAGCACTCCCCAGAGGGCAAAAGAGTAATTTGATAACTCTGATGCCCTTCGAAAATCTCTCATGGTATGCCATCGCATAACAATCGCTGCATGTGCATTCCAACGCTACAAAAATAGACGAAAGAAAAGGCTCTTTGTGCACCTTGATGATGTAACAGTGAAGAAGTTGGGTAGATGAGAAGCAGCTTATAGCCTTTCACGGACACTAACAGTGGACAGTCAATAGGAGTGACAGTTTGGTTCTGCCATTCATGCAGGCTGGTAACACTGTATACACACAAAGACAATCAACCGAGTGTGCTGGTCCAGGTGTATGAGGGTGAGTGTACGATGGTGAATGACAATAATTTGTTGGGCCAGTTTCAGGTGTCAGGTATCCCACCTGCGTCGCGTGGTAAAGCTCAGATTGAAGTGACCTTTGGCATTGACCTGAATGGCATTCTTAACGTGTCAGCGGTGGGCAAGTAGGCAGGAATGCGGAACAGCATCGCCATCGCCAACGACAAGGGTCGTCTGACGGAAGAGGAGATCGAGCAGATAGTGAATGCTGCAGAGAAGTTCAAGCAGGCGGACAAGAAGCAGAAGAGTAGGATAGAAGCGAGGATCGTGTTAGAGAACTGCATCTTTAGCATAAGGCGGAAAATGAAGGAGGGAGAGATGAAGCAAAAGGCATCAGAGGAGGCCACCAAAGACATACTTACGATGTGTGAGACGACCTGGAAGTGGATAAACACCGACGAAGATGCCACGAAGGAGGACTACGATCTAAAGCGCACAAATTTGGAGACCCTAGTCAGCTTTCTTGTGGCAACGCAGAACCCCCATTCGTGAGTCCGGAGATACGAATGCCGGATGATCGGGTTTGCTCATTAAATCACTTTTACTCCCTCCACCCTCCAAATCAGGCAATCACACATCTAAGCATTTTGGTTACTTGGATGCGATCACTAACCCTAACCCATTGTGAATTGTTACTCCCTCTGCATTCTGGTGAGTGCATGCACGGACATTCATTAAAGCCTCCACACACCCACGTATCCGTTCATCCGCCCATCCCATTTGGACGGTTGCATATCTGGCATTCAGGACGTGCATTTCTCCGATTCGTGGTAAGCAAGACAAACGAAATGAAAACTCGGGCTTGACCAAGTTGCTACTTTGGTTCACTGCAAGTTCTACTGCAGAGAATGCGCTTGTGATTTAATTACTGCAATATGAAAGCCGCAAAGCACGAGTGAGGGGGACTGAAATAGACCCACAGTGGGTTTAGTTAAAATAGTTTGTCACCTCTCACTTCTTTGGGTAAATGCCTGCTGTTAAAGCTGTTGAGGGAGTATTTTGCAGTGACACACGCACACATCGGTGGTAATCAGTGACGCGGTCTGTGGTGGGAGAGGCCACGACACCTGGGTTTCACAGTGCTTGGACGAGGTGACACCTAGTGGCTACAAATTCGGAGCTTTAGCGCACCCTTTGTGACAGCAGAATCGGAGCACAAATTTTACCAATAGCACATTTTTCCTCAAATCGTCAAATTTGTAAACATAATTCAAACTAAAAAATAGCTTGACTTTTGATAAAATGCCAACCTATGACGATTGCAAAGGAAATTGTGTAAAGTGATTTGTCCAAAACAACTTTCTAGCTCCTTGAAATGTAGTCCTTCCAGGAAGTAAACCCAAAAGCTCAAAAATAAGAGGGGATGAAGGGGTTGCATTAAAAGGACCGTCTCCTTCCTCTTTTAATGTCAAGCTATACTCATTTTTTTATTTTATGCCCTTTATACTTGCAGAGCAGCATAATATGTTGGCTCCCATTTCAAAATGCTTTTTAGATATTTGTGAACACAACTTTGTTTGCTCGGCATTTTGCTGCACTTTCCCTG